AGCACAATTTTCTGGATGAAGAAAGTAATAATGATTGTTGAGCCACATGCTAAGACAAAGTTTACAAAACCTTGCTTTTTAGACGTTATATAAGCAGCAAAGGAAATCAAGCACGTAATCTGTTGTTCCCAAAAGGCAGATCCAATTTCTAGCCTTGTCTCTATTATACAAAATGCAACAAACACGAAACTCATTTATGATATCAAGTACAAATTGCATGTTACAATTTACAAGCACCCCCACCAATAATGCATTAAGCAACTAATTGCAATATGAATATATCCACCTACCACATCTCATACTATTTTATTTCACAAATACAAACGTTAAGTTTGAATGGATTTTCTTAACTAACTTTTAAGTTACGAGTCGTTTGTACAATTTGGTATAATTTAAATTCAAACAACATACAACTTGCTCTCATAATCTCAACAAATCCTAATCTTAATTTGTTGTTAAACTAATTCGAATTAAAAGCCCCCTGGTACTGAAAAGGAAATGCTTAAGCCTATTCACAAATTTGAACATGCCAAGTAATAAAAAGCCCACATGTTGTAAGCTATAGCTGACTCTCGAAAATAGGGGTGTGCCAGTCATGGCGCCTTTTAAATTTTATATTGAATCCGTCAAATTTCTTTCCTTATTATCTCCTTCGTTATATTCGTCTCACATCACGGAGAGATCGAGATCCGAGTAAATTCCATGTTTTCCTATCAACATAATACGGCGTATGTACATACAATGTAACAAAGTTTTCGTAACCTAACTTGCTGCATATATTTGTAAATGATGTAAAAGATGAGATGAAAAGTAGTCAGTTAACAATTCTTGGCAGCAAGTGTCAGTCTGTCACCTAGGAAGAAACAACAAGATACAGTAACAAACGATGGGTTGGATTAAATAGAATCGAGTATGATTTCGAATAACTTCATTTTTGTGTGGTGTGGAATGATAGGTTTAGATCGGCGTATGCTTTGGGAAGTACTTATAAAATGCAAATCAAAACATTTGCGACTTTTCCCGGCTGTGTTGAATATGATTGGATTAGATGGTTACATAATTCCATAAGATATTAAATACGCAGCCATGCACAAGATGCTGATTTCACTGAGATTGAATTTCTTGCAGATCTTGTCACAAAATTTACAATAACAATAGGAAGCACTAAGGGGACGGCTTGAGCTGCATGCACTTTTACGTATTTGTACGTACCATGAGTTCAAAACAGGTTCAGCAATAAAATAAAGTACAATATTACATAATTCACTCCAAAGGAAGAGTTTAATCCAGGCACCAACCGCCAGTAATCTTCTTACTAGCAGTCCATACTTTTCGTTGGGCTATACTTATCTATGTTGATACCCGTACACTCGGCAAATGTGTACGTACATTGCTTACGTCAAACTGTAGGAGATCTTGTCCGGCTTGGATAATAGCTCACGCAAATGTGTTAATCGTATTATACCAAATTTTACCAAATCCCAGGCATTTTCAGTCCTTCGGTCTTTAATAAAATGCCATACCGTCCGGTTTTCGTTGCGTAATATAAATACGTATGAAGGCATTTTTGGTGCAAGTTGAAAAAATTGGGGTGCTTTACTTAAGCTAAAACTACTCACAATGAAATGGCTGATTTTGGGTATACTTAATTATGCAATAAAATATCAGTTTTGTATAGATTTTCTCTATATTGTTCGCTGATATTCTTTTAGGTAGTGTGTGTTATGTATGAAAGTAATTATTTTACCAGTTTTCAATTAGCAATAAAAAAAACATAGAATATATGCATATGAGGACTGCAAGACCTATGCACATGGATACCACTTTGCTACTGTTGTTCAACGTGGTTTATTGCTGAGGGACGATTTTAAAAAACAATCATTGTCAGCACGTTTTAGGAATAATTTGTGGTTTGCCATAATATTTGCTCTAATGAATTACACTTTCGTATTGTTTGAGCAAGATCGTTCGTATCGATTATTGGTCATTATTTCCATACTGTAAGCCAGTGCATTTTACTTGGCATTGGTTTTGTCTCTCGTACTCTAATCTTCTCCTGAAGCATGCTCATTAGTTAATGGACTCATTTTGCATGTTGTTACATATAATTTATGAGGATTCATTGGGTACAGCTCCGTACAGTATTTTAAGCCGATTGGAATTAACGAGTGCATTGTTTTGGACAAAGGTTCACTGAGTAATACAACTTGCACTTTTATGGTCCACATCCTTTTGGCATTCTATTACGAATAGTTAGTGCATCTCATCAACAATAATTGTACGATTTTTAACAACTGTCATCACACAGTTAATAAGGAAGAAAGAATTAATTCTTTTCAAATGAAGAATTTGCAGATGCGTATTGTAATGAGAGTTAAGATTTTTTTCTCCATTGACGATTGCATCACCAGAATATCAGCTCATTTATTTACATCATCACATGTACATACGTGCCTGCATGCAACAGAAAATTCCAACAGTTCACCAATCATCTCAAAAATTCTCAATTGTCTAATTATCAACTATTGCTAATCACGTTCAGATTTATTTCAAATCTTCCTCGCTCACTTCAACCATTATCACACAACTTTCATTAGTATTCCAATCTTGTTCTTTATACTTGGACTTTAGAATGACATGTTGAAGTTGAATGTTTTTTGATTTAACCGATACCATATCGCATCGCAGATTCTGTGCGAAGGAAAAAAAGTGAGGAGCCCCTGCGGGTTCTAACAAGCCCAACACCGATAACAGAACGGGAATCGTTGAGTTCATATTGTTGCACCCAGCAAAATATATTCATGCCTAATTTTTAAACAAAAAACCAAGATTTCGTATAATTGGACTGAAGGGGGACTGAAAAGTTGTATTTCTTGGAGGCAACAGTGTCAGCTGGATATGACTCAATTTACGCCTTCCTAATCAACAACAAGCGTCTTTGACACTTGCTTCTTTCTTACATAAGAAAGTTGCATAGGATCCTTTTCATGACGTCCACAGCCCACACTTGATTGTCTCTTCATTCTGCGTGCGGGTGACAGCTACACCAGCTACGAAGCTAACGAAGCAAGAAGGGAGAAATGGTAGCATTGTTGACATGAGGAAAGAATGAATTGTAAACATTTTAATGCAATACAGTCAACCAGTGCAAAAAAAATCAAAAAGCCAGTCAGAGTCACTAATGCAATAAAAGAAATTCCAGAGTCACTTGATCTCATCTCTTCTCAACTGCACCAAACCACACACGTGCTACCAAACTCTGGTTTTTATGCTCGCACTGAATGAAAGTAAGCAAAGAATTTAAAAGAGACAATTGTGAATAGATAGTCATTCTTCGCACGTTATTTTACAACTACTGCTACAGCTTTGTGGCTGCAGTAGTATGTACGAAGGATTGTGAGACTCAACCGTAGTCGATTGCACTCGTATAATAAAAATATTTCCTCTTATTGCACTTGCACTTTGTGTGCTCCACTTCTCTGACAACTTTGGATCTGAATTGGTTGAATAGCTCGTGAAGTATTCCAGCCGTGAATTTTGTAGTGCAAACCGCACCATAGGATAAATGACCACACTGCAATAATAGTTTGTATAATGCACAACCATTCATAATACGTACATATCCATCCATAATGCATGTGAAGATTTAACAGCCATAGTCAGAAACTTCAACTGTTGACCACATATAAATATCGGAGAAGCTATTTCAATTTTAATTCAAAAGTGACTGATAGCTCCACCCAGTTGGTTGAATGGCAATTATAATGGATCAGAATTACAATCTCGAAAGGAACATTGTATAAAATTCAGTAGGTTCAGTAATGGAATGGGGCTTCTCTACTCTCTCGATGCAAATACACTGCTTTGGGACAATGACTGTATGATTGCCTGACCACGCGATGATCATCATCGCAGGTCCAATATGCAACCCACCCTCTCTTGCCTAAATTAAGCTATTGACTACTTAATGAAATTGTAATATTGACTGATTATTGATGATCATGGAGAGACAAGTGCTATTCTACCCTCATCAAGCCAACCATCAAACTTCTCATCAGCATCATGAACGGTAATAAACAATGGAGAGTAAAAAGGCATTTGAATGGACAATCTCGAAATCCGGCGGCCTGAAGTTGATATGTTGATGGTTCATAATTCCTGAATGAAGATCTTGCGCCATTAGCAGCTCTCCATTCTTGGTACACATTGTTGTCCCTGTTTTTTCACACTGTATGGCACAGACTTTGCAGTATTAGTACGAAGCTGAGAATGAGCAGATTCAGAGATGCTTCCAAAGAATAACAACGAAACAGACAAACGTTGTTGTTGGCTTTTGCCTGAAGGTTTTTTGCTAATAAAAATAATCATAATCATTACAATAACGCAGCATTTTTATGATGGATATATAAGGCAGTAGTAACGCTGAACGTGTGCAGGGACGAGGACAGTGGTGGCATTGGGATCGAGTGTTTGAGACAGCTCGATTCGAAACTGCCAGAGAAATGAACATTAGTTTTGTTGACGCTATTCAGTCAAGCCTTGCACTCTCTCCAGCAGCAACAGCCCTCAACGCACGAAACAGGTTTACCAAGTTAATACACTCCTCAAATTTATACACATAAGCAAAAATAATCCAGCAGATCATAATGCAGACAGTTTGAAATACAATGATGTTTGTGTTACATATGTAAGTTCATACAAAACTAAAACTAATAAACCGTATCAAACGGAAGTAACTAAGGGGTGACACAAGTGGCAGGATCATAACTTTTTCCCAAAAGTTTGACATGTTAGACAGAATATTAAAATTTTGAACGTTCTGACCTCGTCGACAGGGTCACAGAGTCGTCGTAGGTCAAAATGACCTATCCAGTAGGATGGACCTTGAAAAATGCTATCAATTTGACACCCTACATGACCTACTGTCCTTGTCGTTATTAAAAAGACAAAACTTAAAAAAATAATCTGTTCGAAAGTAAAAACTGACGGACGGACGGACAGACAGAGCCTATCGATAAAGGGGTTTCACCGTTTAACAATAATAATAATACAGCTAATACAGATCACTTAAAGAAGGATGAAGATATGGTTATTGTTTCAGTATAGGGAAATGGGGTTCCAAATGCTGTGATTGGCTGACGGTTTTTATGGGCATCCGCCCATAAAAACAGGGCCGTGGCACAACTCAATTTTTCCCAATCTCAATTTCCCATTACTTGGAAATCTCACTCCTTTCTTGGCACCAAAATCAGGTGTCTCCTTTACCATCATTATTGCTGCCAAACTCGGAAAAGCTGAGTAATTAAAAGATTATTTAATATCCTACAAATTAATTTTCTGACATCCACTCAATTACATAAATCGGTTCAACTCACCACAAGTTAAGCTCTAAGCTTCAACTCTCGGTAAGTAGTAAAAGAATTACTATTTTCTTTCAACAATGAACGGTGGGGACACAAATATGGTGGTGACACGTTCATTTTTACGAGTGATTTGGATGTTAATTTATTGCGATTTATTTGTTCAGGTAACTGCTAAGGACAATTTTTCATCCATTAATTTTGCGACCTCTCTGCCGTGCCCCCACCAGAAATCTGTGTCATCGCCGGCCAACCTGGTAAATAACAACTTTAACTGGATTCTGCAACAATAAGGACCAAGGAACTTGTATTTCGTAATGCACTATATTTTATTGAAGTATACACTCATCAATTACCATTAGTTGTTGTTCGTGACCTGGTAACAGTGTGAAATTGTCGGAAACTTCGTTAAAGTTTTACAAGATTCAAAAATAGTTTCTCATATAATGAACGGTGAATACACATATATGTACATTCATGTATGGTGAAAACACGCTTATTGTTGGAAATTAAGTTCCACTAAATTTATTTTTGTGAATTGCAGATATAATATTTGTGCCAATTGTTACTCAATATTGTGACCTATTGCCCCTTCCTCCACCAGATCCGTGTCTCCACCGGTCAATTTATCTTATAAAGTGTGATGAGAAGAGATGGTAAAGGGTAAAGTGAGACGGATGGTGCGCAGCGAGTGCTACGGCTTCATTTATGCGGCATCAAAAATACATGGAGAAATTTGAACTGCGAACCAGCCAATCACATCATTCCAGCCCCGTCCTATACTGAATAACTAACATTGGAACTGTTTATCTCTATAGGATACCATGATCGTTGATAATAATACAGAGTACAAAGTTTAGAGCCAGGAAAATATTGCCATTTTCCTTCGTGCCACTTCCTACAATAGGAGAGATTGAGGGAGTAAAATGTGTAGAAAATAAAAGTGTGCGTGGCTCTATCGCCAGGTCCGTCGCATATTTTTAGTTCGCTTACTCGTATTATTGTTTTCAGAGCTGACGAATCTATTCTTCCAACTTTAAAAGTCGAAATTAAAGACTCGTTGCGTTGGGGTCATTTTTCTGTATGCAAAGATCATCAGTCATTTCATTGGAGACTGAGGCATAAAACAAAATAGAGCAGGAGATTGAGTAGACAGACAAAAGACATCCACCCAGAAAGGGCGTCTGCTGGTTCGCCTTCTATTCCTTTTATTATTGTTATTTCAGAGTTTTAGAATCCCATTAAGAATATATCAGCCAAGATTATCCAAAGAAGCTTTTAGTTTCATCTCGGCTTGAAAGCACCTTTAGCTCCACTGTACTAAATACTTTCAACTTGGATACGTATTCTCCATCTTCAGCGAACCATAGATCTGGCAATCATGCTGCATTGTTCGTAATATCCGTAAGTTAAATCCCGAAATGGGGATCTTACCGTATCAGCAGAGTTAGCAAAGTAATATGCAAATGTGTAGTCGTGTATTAAACACTATTGAATATTAACTTTATAATATTTGGGACACAAAGTACAAAAACATTCTGAAATCGTTTATGACAATGCGTTAAAATGCAGTATTACATTCACAATCTACTTCCATAAAGCGTTAGTGTTAAGTCGCTGCCTGTCTGACTGACCGAGGAGTGATGCGATGCAAGTTGCCCCGTAGAGAAGACAAAGAAGGACGCGGAGCAACCGCATGCATGAATTTTCTGCATGAGTCTCACTTCGCCTGCACGTGACTTTCACGTACGCTTGCCATCAATCTCAAATTAAATGTCTTTGTATATTTGCAGTGTGCAAGTAAATTGAGTGAGTGAGCAGTATGCATACATACATCACTCATCAATAGTGGTTATCATGATAAGTAATCTTGATAAACACTATTAATTAATTATTTTAGTTTGAGAAACTCCACCCACAGCGAGTCGCATATCAATTCGAATGTATTTTTGACGCTGAATCCAACGCCATTAATGGTTTTGACCTCCGAGGCCCCCGTGACCTTCCCGTGACCGTGGCAGCCAAATATGGCTTATTCGTGATGTCGCATATCAATTCGAATGTATTTTTGACGCTGAATCCAACGCCATTAATGGTTTTGACCTCCGAGGCCCCCGTGACCTTCCCGTGACCGTGGCAGCCAAATATGGCTTATCCGTGATGTCGCATATCAATTCGAATGTATTTTTGACGCTGAATCCGAATCCGTCAATAGTTTGACGTTAATTATAGAAGTTGGGGTTTATGGAACTGAACGGGAGCGTGAAGCGCGGGAATATAAATAGTTAGCTATGCAGTTACTCCCACACGACGGGAATTTAAGTAATTAGCTATTCAACTACTCCCACAGGGGGAAATCAAATTGTACTGTGACCAGGTTAATTAAAATGCAGTATGACTGGGGCAAACCCTCACTCTGATGTATGTATGTAGTACGACGAAGTCTCCACTGGGAATTATTTAAAGTATAGCATGACGGATTTTTCGCTTTGGGCACACCCCCCACTGGAACTCTAGAACCCGGCCTTGGCCGGGCTATACGCTAGTAATATAATAACGCATAAATATTTCCTGGCTTTGCTTTAGTCATTTTTAAAATTTGTATTTCGAATGCATGTTGCAGCTTGAAGCTTTCTTTGAAAGTGCATCCTTCTAAACTTTGATGCAGCTACATTTTGCTTTTGTTTATGAAGGTTCTCATCTGCATTTGAAAAATGAGCATATCTCTTCAGAATAAAGGGGCCGCACTCTTTGAAGAAACTAAATTGACATATTTATAAACATGTACTTGTGATGAATTCAAGATACAGGGAGGCAAAAAAGTTAAAAGTGAATCAATTCTATTACAGCGATTCACTTCACTTAAGTAAACACTCAGTGACTTTCTCTTAGCTTAGTTGACTTTGATTTTGAATCCTGGACTTAAATTGAGCACCAGCTCTTGGATTGATGAGAATTCTTTTCTGTCCGTCCATTAGCTCATCCGTACTTGAGAACATCTTGTGCTAAGCCTTATTTAGTGATATAAAGTCTGTCTGATCTGCCTCTTGGAGTCGACGGAGAATACAAATCAATGCATAACATTATGCATTGATATGCATTTGCATATTTCGAATAGGAATTTGTGTGTTTGTAAACATATAGCTACGTACTTTTGTCGGGTTTTAGCTTTAATAGCACTGGGAAGATTTTTATTCCAAAGCTGAGAGACATCCAAATCGAATTATTTTCTAAATAATTGATCAGAAATAAGAGACACAGAACAGACAAAATTGAATGTAAAGTAGAGTAAAAAAAAGCTTCTCGGAAACCAATTCGACTAAATTGATCAGTGGTATATGTATGCATGTATGAATGCTTATGCGATTTTTATTGTGAAGTTTTATGATTTTTAATTTAATCTGTGCAGTGTAAAGTTGCTTGATTCCACAATGTACGTCTCAATTTATTTAGGGAATAAAACGGAGAGGTCATGAGAATACATCTTTTTTGTGATGTGGCCGGAGATTAAGAGATCTCTGTCGGGGACGACTGGATGGAGTACTTAATCCAGTTTTCCAGGTTGAAGACATGGTTTTTTCAAGGGTGCAGCTCAGCTTTATTTACTTGAGGCTCGAGGCCTTGTCAAATCAATCACAACTTTTATTGGATTTGGGCGGTGGATCAGCATTAAGACGATTGAGGGAATATGCTATAGGGCTGGGTCGATGTATGCACCTCATTAGTGTTCCTTCCTGTGAAAAACAGCATTTCTGAAATATTTCAAATTTTCTGCCCCTCTAATTAATTTCTTTGATATCTGTTACAAGGAAGCTCTCATTATTTTCAGACATTTTTTATGCTGGTTGTTGGTTTGAATTGAAATCTCAAAACTGACTCGAAGACTGAGATGGTATCAAGGTTAATCCTTTATTTATATCTGAATATTGTATGCTACACTCGAAAAATCCAGCTGAAATGAATCCCATTCGTATGAATCCCATACATGCAGTTACACACATTCACCTAAGACAAAGACTCACTTACATAAAATGGAACATTGCATGGACATGTAAATTATTTTTTGTGTGAGTCTAAAAATGCTGGTACTCTTTGAAACCAGTTCATTTATCAGCGTGGCAGGTTGACACAAAACTGTTTGTCGGTCAAGCACTGAAACATATTTTATAAATGAGACTGCTTTTGAGACATATGTTTTTGTCCGAAAATGGCTTCTGGTCTTCCTCCTCGTCAGGCATCGCAAAGCACATGAAAACTGGAGGCCTTTTTTTACTCTCTCACATCCCAAGATGAATTAGATACATTCGTTTCCAGAAGAAAGAGAGGGAGCAGAAGTACGATAGTGGTCGTTTTATTAAATATCATCAATTCTCAATAGTTCTTTTCCCACTCGGAAAAGCGAAAACGGTGTTGACTTCTGGGCAGTTCTGTTTTTGATTTGGCTCCATTTCTATGTTCGACATTCGCCTTGATTGACAAAAAACTTAACAAAAGCAAAACTTTCTCAAGGAAGAAGACTGTGTCGTTGTTGATTATATGGTATTCGTTTGTCCTCTACTGGCTCCTCCACTGCTGAAGATCACTTTAATATTTCTTGTTGTCGCCTGCATTGCATTCGCTTGTCAGATGCAATAACCGAAAGAGTTTTCTTCTAGGAGGAATATAATGGCAAAAAATAAGGTTTCTGGGTTGGGTGGTTAGTGTAGAAGCGAGAAGATGAATGAAAAATTATGGGATGACAATGGACAGTAATAAGTAACAAGGTGCTAATTTTTAAAGGAAATAAATGAAGACGCGATTCAGTCCGGTGCAGCACACAACTGTAAATTATTTCTTACTTGCTGTTTGGTAATTGCACTGGGTGAGCACGATGAGCAAAGTATTCGGTCACAAGTATGCACATATAGATACATGCTTATGCCAATTACTTTGCAAACATTGTTGGCACCTGGAAGGAAGCTGTGATGATTCTTAACAATAGAATTATTTGTGTCGTTCATGGTCACCCAACTCATCCTGTGGAGCAGACCGTCGTTGATCGTTTATCATCACAACAAAACCACGCAGCAAGTGCAACCATTACGTTTTTTTACATGGCTTCTGCAAATCCACTACTGTGCTAAAGAATTAAATAAAAATAATCTTTATTTCATCCTCAAACATGACAAACACAATTCGTGTTGCTTTTTCTCTCTCTCTCTTTCGGTCAGTCGCAGATTTGGTAAAACCGTGTTGGGAAAAAGTGGACTGCAACCAAATGCATTCGTGTAATGATAATTCTGGTGTTTCGGTTCAACCCAGTCGAGTTTACTTGATTTGTTGAATTTGAGAAACTATGCTGCACATTATTTATTAGTGGAAGCTACATAAATGAGTCTGTAAGCAACCGTGATTTTCAGTTTTTCTCAAATACAAACAGCATGAGTGAATGAGCAACGAAACTTGTGTAAGTCCTAATGTTTTACATACATGTTCCGAGGCTCTACAGTTATTATGGCTTTTGCAGAAATTCGGTTAAAAAAATGACCCGTTTTCAGAGTCCACGTTAAGATCAGCTTCTCAGTAGTAAAACCAGAGTAGAACGAGAGTAAGAAAAAATCAGGTGAAGCTAGCTTAACGTTCAACGACGCTGGTGTGGTGTGAGAACGGTGATAAACAAGATTTTACGGAAGAAATAGGATTTATTTTTCGTCATCCGCTTATTGTTGTGTGTTGTACTGTTTTGATGTGGTGTGCCTCCTGGTTCATTGTTGAAGCACGAGGAAGATGTTTGATGTGATTGTGGTTTAGGTCTTTAATAGTCATTATCATTACTGCTACTGCTGCTGGTGAGTGGTGAATGACGTGATAAATCACTGCAGGACAGGCCAAGCCGAATTTGAGTTTACGAGTTATTAACCATACACGATGCATCAAGAAGAGCTGATAAATCTACCACAAAATACTTAGATTTTACTCAAATGAGGTGATGATTTGAAAATTCGAGGTTTGTTAAAGTGCCAGTAGAAAATAGCAATTTTATGGATTGGTGAAGCTGATGAGGACAGTTAAATCAAATTGCATCCTCCACAATCTTGTAAAATAATACGCAACGTAGATTAACTTTTTTAAGCAGTGTAATAGAACGGAAATATTGTGTCACCAGAGTTGACTTGCATGATCATTAATTATATTATTTTTGGAATGTGAGTGAATCATTCAGGTTATAAAACTTGAAAATGAATGAATGATTTATGACATGTAATTACACAATGCATTGTCAGCACATCTTTTGTGTTCCTAATTTTATTTTGACTTGGAAATGCATTTATTACTTATAGTTGTGGAGGAAGTTATAATGATGTGGTAGTAATAATGATACATGTGATAGCATATTTATTAATAATTCTGTTCCAGCTAGAGATTTTATTCGAAATTAAAACTCAAATTCTCAAATAGATTAATCGGCAGAACCTAATTGACTAGAATATATTTACGCTTCAAGCATCAAAAAATTTATCTGGCTATGTTCTATATAGCAGTTTACAATTCTATTATTCCTTGAAAAATCAACAATAAGGCTGAATGATGTACAGAGCTCTAGAATTCGCAGTTTGGAGCATTTCTAGGCCATTAACTAGAAAAATTATTCGTAATGTTGTACAAAATGCATAACAAGGAATACAAAATGTGTCACCTTAAATAATTTCCTTTACCCAATGATACCCAAGTTCAGCTAACTTTTCTCATTTTGCCTCAATTCGTATTACTGACACAAATAATTAAATTAATTTAATTTCATGAATTTTAACAATTTTTTTTTATTATTGCAGGTAAGGAACACGGGTTAAACTGACATCATTTCCTTCCACGGATTGGATCTACTGACAAAAAATTAGGAATACGAATGAATGTAGCTCATATTCCGTCCAAGGAAACTGCCGCTGACGTGAAAAAAGCTACGTGTCTCGCTAATTATAATTGTCACTAATTAAAACTTGAGATATCTGCAGACAATTTGTCGACTACAATAATCTGCAAATGTACATATATCAAATCTCATGGCGGAGTATTTATGTAGGTGCATGCAAGGTATCGAGTTTCAGTTGTCGGAAGAGATGAACAACCTCGGATACCTAAATTCCTTGCAGTTTTTCTGTCATAAATTCTGCTTTCTACATCGCAAAATTCATGTTTAACTTTATGCTGCTCCATTATCTCTATTTACAACATTACAAGTAGACATGGACGATACAGAGGTGAGACAATTATTGCAGACTCACTAGTTTACCAGTATTTGTGAGCATAATGGTCTGGTGAATTTTTGTGTTTCATTGATGATGATAATGGTGGTGAGAATTCTTGATTAAAGATAGGACCAGCCAGATTCACGAAGTTTTGAGATCTGTAAAGTATATAGAGCATCCATACACTATAAAGAGGGTATATATTGCTACAGAGTTGTTCTTGTTGTGGCATAAATATTATCATTCGTCATCATCTCATTTTTCCGGCTATGTCGTAGAATGATAACGTCGCGGTCCGTGGCGATCAAGTGGAATGAACTTGCGTTTCGTTTACTATACCTGGCCGACCGAATTCATGACAAGACAAGCAATGAAGTGAGTGATACTAAATACATGCTTTGGGCAATGAATCATCACACTTATTTGAAATACGTGCAGGAAAAATCGCATCAAGATATCATGTGCCATGTGAGCAAAAAAAGTAAAACATAATCACGGGCAACTAAACTCAACAACTAGCTTTTAAAGCCAGCAATAAGGTGGTAGTGCAAATCTTGGCAACGCATCTTTCCCGTCTCTGACAGAGTCCAACTGCAAGAATCGTTTCATCAAGTTTTTCAACGGCAATAAAATTGTTAATCTAGATAAGACGAGGTTAATCTGTTTCAAGTGCATGATCATGCTACAAATTCTTAATGTTACCACGATGAAAAACTTGTGAAATTTATAGAGAGAAGAGGTGTTTATTATGCAGTATAATTTACGATTGTCATATATTTTAGAAATTGTGAGCAGACCAAATCAATTAGTGATTCGCTTCATTACTCATTATTTTTTAATGTGCTATTACGTGGTGTGGGATTGTGGTGGCAAGTGGGTTATGCATAGTTACATATATTTATTGGGTTCAATCCATCCATCATGTAAATGCAGGTCAATTCTAATCCAATTGCATCCATTAACGGAATTGATTTCGATTTCGTTTCCATTCTGTCCATCTGGTGATTACGTGCCTCCCATTTAACTCCCGTGACTGTCACCGGAGCTAATTGAAATTCGCAAATCGTTCTCATGATGCAATAAATTGATATCCTTCCCCACACCCATGTGCATATTTATGCATGTACGTATGTGTGCATACATTGGTATTCACGTTGCTCTAATAAGTGGTTGAAATGAAAGAGCAACTCCTCCTAAATCATTTGGGATGTTTATCAATTATGTATTACAGTTTGCAAATTGCGAGTTTGAAAGTCATGCAGCTTTTAGATTATCAATTACTACAAGTTTTGCTGGTCATTGTGATAACTGGTCTAAAATACTGATCAATTATGCTCAGAAACAAGTTGAACCAAGACTGACTGGCCATTAGGATATGAGTCAATCGAGCATTGCCATGAGCTATTTACAGATAACAATTTATTTCTCAATTCATCCACTAATCGGCAATTGGATTTTGCAATTGGCATTTGAAATAAAAAATTATTTCCGTTAACGAACTGACCGACGTCACTTATTACAGCGTCAGATCCACCCTCTGAATATGCAACAAAATCCCTTTCACTTTCCTACCATCATTTTAGCATGATTGATTGAGAAGTAATTGCAAAATCTTACATATTTAAACCCATCGGTTGTGCTGGTTTTGGATCGATTTCATATCATACCCTCCAGCTCTGATCGTGCTACAGTTGTCTGCAGTTTCCTACTCGAGGGAGGACAAGAATTTGATACATTAATTTAAAAATTGTGAATTATGCCATACCAGTCGTGCTGCTGATAGCTACGTAAGCTGCCTGTGGTCATTCCGTTCATTTGATGATTGCGACTTTCATCCTTTCCTTTTCATATTTTAACAAACATTTATAACTTCATATTTTTTATGCGCAATAACGAGGTCTCTAACAAAATGAAAATGAACTCTGACACTGTGAAATGACCCAGCTAAAAAATTAGCTGTCTAATATTTAAGCCGGAGAGTATTCAAAATTGAATGAGAAGATGAGAATATCATTTATTTAGCACAGGAAGCGAAGCACTTATGATTTTATTTCATTAGTGCTCCATGAACCAATTAATTGCTCATATGCACACGTTCTCTTGACTTGTCCGTCTGTCCATGTTTGCCTCAAGGTTAGTGAAATTATTGCGCACTGAGACCTGTATCTCATTATTTCTTTTTCTATTCCTCTAATTACGGAAATTATTTTGACGTAAAACTTTATTAATCTATGGAGAACTACAGAACAAGAATTTAGCTATGACTTGATAATGGTTCACAATAATAAGTCTCTTAAGGAAATGAAAGGCTATGAATTTTGCGCTATCTCAGCAAATCGCAACCACTTTACTGCACTAATGACACAATTTTCCCACCCTTGGGCTCACCTCTACCTCTGAATAAATACCTTTCCAGTTAATTGTCTGCTAAAATCTTATGGGAGTTATCTATGATACTACGACGTTAATTGTAGTGTGTGAACACAAATATGTATGACGGTAAATCGATAGGGAAATTATTTCCAGAAATCCCACAAGTATTAATCACAAGTTTATATATTTTTATTATTTAGTTATATGGAAGCATATAAAACTACACGTGAATAACTCATCCTTACCAAGAACTGCATATGTATGTCTTTTATCAGAAATTGTGATAATTGAGCCAAAATCACAATACATGGAACTTTCAAAAACTTGAATTTGTTGTGCCCGAAGGAACATTTTCTCTATATGTATTTACATGCACATGTAAAATAAAATTTGCATTGCTGTCATTTTCCTTTGGCACAACAAGACACAACCACAACGGAGTGACTCGTTCTCGATTAATTTAATTACATTTCTTCAACTGAGGAGCAGAGTAGTAAATACATGCGAAATATGGAGACTCGTTATTTTGACTTGCTAAAATTTTTTGCGTCTTGGATGAATTTCTGCAGGGCGACAAGAATTGAGTTTAGTTTAGTTGGTGAAGCGTATAAAATGGTGGTTCATGCATTAAAAAACCATGCATTTCTACATCCCTGTTTTCTGAAGAAAGATGAATTTCCGTTGTGATCACACGTCTCTTAGTTTGCAGCAAATTTTGCACTTTGTCATCGCCCATTGATGTTGTTTCGCTTGCGAGTGTCGAACCCTTGCGACAATGAAATTGTGTTGTCTCTCTCCCTCCCTGCTCTTGTATGCTCTGATTCCTTGGAGAGGAGGATGTTGTGTTGGACGATTTCAGGTGCGAGTCTGTCGAGCAACACAGTCGAGTAATTGTACGTGCTATTTGTTAAAGGAAATTGCCTGATATTCACAGTCGGCATCGGAAAATGAAATCAGAGTGATGTTGATATTGTGATGATGATGGGGTCCTTATTCAATTGCAATTGTGCCATGAACGAAAAAAATGGGTTGCATATGTAGAATGCCAACTTTTTAAATTGAATTGATACTGAAAATGTCATGCATGAAATCAAATAATAGAGTTTGTCATTTATTGTCGTTTTAGTTTCATGATAAAATACACTAAATTGATCATCGTATATACAATGTCTGATCCATGAGTCGCCTGCTTGGTTATGTAGCAGTGTCATGAAGAGGCACATTGACTTTAAAATGAACTCCGCCCAAAAGGGAAACGAAATTGGTGGAAATGGATTATTATTTTGGTATTACGCCACTCCTACACGCAATTTCAAGAGTCGCAACCTGCACATTATTGGTGAGATGTCTATCCGTAATAATAGAGTAAATGCCGTTAGGTCATTGCATGTCTGCAGTTTAATGATGATTACGCATTAATGCACATATTAAACTTTGTTCGAATTGTATGAATATTGTTTAAAAATGGACGAAGTCAAGAATGAATTCGTGGGTGTATACGTAAATTGTTCATACAATTTAAAAAATTATATGTGCGACATGATGCATTGTACAATATTTTGTATTCAATTGACGAGACAGCAGATGTCCTGTTAAAAACCTTTGTCCATGCCAAATCATATTTCATAACAAAATTTCCTGTTTTATTTTTGAAAACCCCACATTATAATATTTAAATCGGTAGACTACGCACGTTACACAAATTTACTTCGGATTTAAAAAAATTGTTTCAGAAAACTTCAGTACGCGACTTTGATAAAATACTTGGTGACAAATACACATGATCTTAAATAGAATCTGGACATGTGTTAATTAATTCTCAAAGAACTTGTAAACAATGCGTCCCATTTCTCTAGCACGAATGGAATTTGTTCCAATTTCCAGGCATGGCAGAAAGATTGACTTGGTTTGTTTGTGGTGATGTCGTCTAGTCTCTCGAAAACTTTTATTGCATTCTGCACGTTCGTCTTTCTTAGGAAAGAAAAGTCCATCCTGGACCAGGCAGGCAAGTGGGTAGTAATTGAGCATCCAAAGTCGTAAACAAAAGTAAGAATGTTGAATGAATAATTAGCTTTGTTTCTCAATTTGCTCTCCCTTTCCGATTTTACTCCACTCTTGGCAAACTTTTCGACTTTTTCAGACTAACAAAAGTACTAAACCTTATTTAGGACTATGCATGTATGGAACATTTCATCACACAGAAGGAACTACCGGACTTGCAAAATACCCGGACCGTCTTCCTTCCAGACCATCCTTCATTCACCCAGAAGCACGAGAGAGGAGAACCACCACATGCACATCAATTTTGCACAGCACAAACAAGAAGCGCCATCAATTCTTTGCTCGGTAAAGAATTTCATGAATTTAGAATGGGAGTAGGCGTCCTTGCTGCGCTGGCACAATTAATGATTAATGTCTTCTCCAAAGTGGGAATCAAGTTTGTTTGCTATTTGTTTCAATCTTGAGAGGATTAGTCTGCTTGACGTAAATCTCTAGCGTTGCACCGCCTATGCCCACACGCTTTGCATGTGTAAATGGCGAAAGATGGGCGACAACTTGTCCCATTCAAAAGGCTTTACTTTTTTACTGCAACAGCAAAACAAAGTTTGCACTTCTTATTAATTAAAATCAAATCTTTTGAATATTTATAACGTCGGCCGGGTGAGATGGGATGGGAAGAAGCGAGAATGGAAGACAGACGGCGATGGTTGAGAACAAAGGATGAAATTTGAATATAGATGGATGAACTAATGAAGTTTCGAAGGAATTAATCTTGTGCTATTGGTTGTCTGCAATTCTCTCGTGCGTAGTTCGCATGGAATATTGTTTGGTTTTGGTACGTTCTCCGCTTGCAACCTCTCATCTTCTTGTTTAAAGAAGATAATGAATTGTTTAATTACTTCACAAAAGCGTAGATTGATTGAATTTACGGTCCTTTATTTTATTACATATTATTACGTGTATGTGGTGACCAAATCGTACAAAAACATTAAAATTATTCGTGTGGTTTACTGTGCTTCAACCAATTTAGCATATTTATTTCGTTTTATGATGATACCTATTGGACTTTTGGTGCAAGGCGTTGTAAAAAAAAATCAAATTACTTGGTGTGGATTTATTTGACAACTTACTGAGTTATGGTATACAGTTTTTAATTATTATTTTCATGCAAAAATTGATTTATGCAATCCCTGAATAAATGCCTAGTTTGTTGGTAGTGTCTGTGATTACATGCCGGATGACACCACAGGCATGCACTTTTTTTGGATGATTAATTTGCTATCATACATTTTTTTTAAACTTAACACAATATACACGTTTATGAGAGGAATAAAATTACTGTGTGCTTAACAAATTCTATTTTTGTGAGGTTGAGGAAGAAGAATATTCAGTTAAAATGTCACAACTTAAACTTTAGACCATTAATGTGCATCATTTGAGATATGGGGCAGATAATACAAAAATTGAGACTCGGATCCTCACGAATGTCCGACTTTCATCTGCAGTTTCTTTTTATAAAGGCACAAATCGTGTTTTACTTAATTATTAAACGCTCCTTGACTGTGGAATTCTCGTCAGAATCAAATCCCTTCCCATTATTGTAACATGCATTAAACAAACAAAGTGCAAGGAAAAATAGGAAAAAAACGCTGAGCAAAGGAAATTTTCTTCAATAATAAGACCCACTTGTACAAGACGAAAAACTTTACATCAACCCAAGATACAAACAGAGACATGACTTGACAATGACACTCGAGCAGTAAATGGGACGAAGGGACAGGAGGACAGGTAGATTAAATTGAAAAATTTAGTTTTTGAAAGTAAGCACAAGAACCACGAGCAACTGCACGTTTTCACACTCGGTTGACACACCTCCAGAGATCGCTGAAAGGAGACAAATAAATTGTGACGAGTCAACGACAACGACGTGTCTTCCACGCAGCTCTCCAGTCGAATAGAATGGAAGCGCTTCTTCCTTAGCACAATAAGTTTTTTGTGTCCACCTGATTTAGAAATTTGAATTCTTGCTTCATTTACATTTGATCCATGCAAATGTTAAATTTTAATGTAGCCAGCTGGACTGCTTTGTATTGGCCACAAAAGGCAAATCCAGATGGTGACAGACGATAGATAATGATTTAAAAGTTTGATGATTATACATTCAGTGTGCTTTTTGTGACATGTCGCATTTAGATGAGCACTCTGCTCGCTTGAATGTCTTTCAGTGCTTGTCTCTGACCTTTTTTTCTTAATTTCATAATGGATCCGCTGAAATGATTTTGGATTTCTTTGTCGATTTGGGTACTGCTACGTCTACTGCTTAATTAAACAACGTCGAAAGAGATGCGACGCTAATGAGAATACCGCAGTGTTTCTAATTCCATGAAGGTTATGTTCTTGTGAAATGAAAGCGGATCAATCAAGTAACTGCGGGCTTCATGTAATCAATTTAACCGCATATTCAACCCATTGATTCCACTAACTGTTCATGTAAATAGGGCATTTTGCGGTGGACAAAATTTAGCTGATTATATGCTAAAACAATCACAATTGATTTGTATGTATGTACGCATGCACTTGTCGCTGTAGCTCGCAGCACCCTGCGCGGATTGGTTGATAACACAAACAACAACTTGGGATTTCTTGTACACAAATCAAATAATAAGCGCGTTATTTGGTACGTACGAGACTCATAAATTACTGAAACACAGACAACTCGAACATTTTCTACCAAATCAAGGGCATAAACCTACCAAGAATCCCTCCTTTTTGGTGGTGCTGCTGCTGTTGCTGCTGTGCTGATTGAATTAAAAGAATACGAACGGAATAACAATGAGAAAATGCGGTCGTGAAAGGGAAAATTGGGAATAAATACACCCACAAGCCAAACGCCCAGAGTATAGTGTTCATTCATTTATTCATTCACACGTAAAATCTCATCTCTCGCGTTTCTCATCATAAAATGCACTGGTGCACTGACTGGTCAAGCCATGTACCAAACAAAGCAAGAAAAGGGCAACTTTCCTTCTCCCCCAAGTTGCAGGATGCCCGGAGAAAGAAATAAGTTCGCTCCCGATGGGCTTCCAAGAATTTCCTGCGCCCTGATTTTTTCATGAGATTCATCAATTCCCATTTTATTCTCCCAGTTTATGTCTGATGTGAATTGTTGTTACATCAGCGTGAATTTGAAGCAATACTTCCACTGACCTTGTACAACTCTATGCGTTTGTATTTTTCAATTCGATTTTGTATGGCTATTTTTACGATTTTTGTGCACTTGATAGCCAAGCATGTCTGGGTTCATAATTTGTGGAGATATTCAGTCTCGTTGCTCTACACATATATATTTTTTGCCTATAAGTTTTTCAAAAGTTCAGAATCTCAGCTGGTAAACGGAAACTGCATTAAAGCTTAAAATATTTAGTACAGTTGACAACAGGAGTTGTTTTGCAGCGGTAAATTTTCAATTGACACAGAAAACGAAACCCGTAAAAAACTGTCGAATAAATGCTGTAGTGTATGATCGTGCCAAACCTTTACAAAAAATTGTCATGATTAAGAAAAATAGAGCAGTGTGCCTGTGCTACTGGCAAAAACAACCATGCTTTACGAATTTTTCCTTAGTTTGTGTGCAAGCAAATACAAGGGAGTGACGTACGTCCGGTGTATAAGTTTTGTTGATAAGGGGAAGGCAAAAATTGTAATAGCCGAATCATGCTGTAGATCGAGCAGTGCTGAATTTTTTGCTGGGGCAGTACGGTTATCCGAGGAGGCTTAATTGTTATTGTCATGCTACACGCTTCAGTATATCACAAATCAAGAAAAGTCAGCATAGAATTTAGTTTTGGCAGTGACAAATATAATTTTGGGGAAAATTTTTAACTTATTTAGTTTGTTGGATTATACCTTTAGGAATATTAAACTAATTTATTGTAGGCTTCCGAGCACTACGAATTTTTCTGCATATAAAATATTAATTTAAATTTCAAATTGGTTACTCAACACCAATTCGAAAAAGAAGAACTGCTACTTGTCCTTCTTACACAATGCGAGTGCAACTAGGTTTTTCAAACTTGTAATGAAATAAGTATAATGTTGAAAATCTCATTAAACTGAAAATGTCCAAAGCACAACAATGAAGGTACTAATGAGGAGGAATCGACTGTTGCCATTGTGCCGTAGAGTTTCAATTACACGATCCACTCTGCATCTACCTTTATAATAGATCTGCAAGTTTATGGCAGAGTTTTTTTCACAAGATCCATTTCCGAAATGTGTATGGAGTTCTTGGATGTAAGTAGTTTAAGTGATGCTTGGACACAGTCGTACTTGGTTCACGCACTTGTAAGTATTATAAAAAATAGGAAATGCAGTTTTCCGTTTGGACTTTGATTTGTACGATTTCCCCTGAATTTAGCTCACCACAGGGCGAGCGATTCTTTTACCACGTAGGACAAAGAAATAGAAGAATCAGTTTCAGACTTTATTTCCCACGAATAGAAATACCACTAAGAAAGCAACACCTAAGCAACACCCGAGTTCAGATGGACATTACACGTTTCATTTGAATAATAGTGATCCTAATGTTGTTGTTGGAAGGTTGTAATGGTTGCTGCAGATGAGAGCTGCGAATTCGAATTGTCGTGAGTTTTTTACACGGTTGCCATTAAATGTGCTTATTTAGAGCTTCATTACAACAAATTGCGTGAAGTGTGGAAGCACTAGAATCCTTGAGAAATGTGTCGTTTCTTTTCTTTATATTATTCCACCTTCAAATTTGTTAAATACACTGGCGTTTGGCGTAATTTGATTTATTTTCTTGAAAATAATACATTTCATGAGACGGGAAGGCCTATGAAATTGTTTAGCGTGATATGTAAGTAATTATTATTCTTCGGCTGCCGGTAAACAAACTATGTATTAAGGCTAAAATTGTACAAAATACATATTTCCCTGTACCTAATGGATTTCTTAACTACATGAAATTGTTTGTGCTAAAAAATGTGCTCTCTTTCTGAAATGCGAGTTAACAAGATTGTTCCAACGAACCTGGCGATTTGTGATTAATTTCCAGATTTTAAGCCACGAGGCAAATCAAACTCCAAGTTATAGGCAGTGAGAAATCTCATTTCGTGGATTTATTTTCATTTTGCTTGCCTAGGAAGCCCGTGGGCAAACTTACTTAATTTCAGATGTAGGCCTGGCGTTTGAAATGACTGTGCCCTCGTAATTTGCTCCTCGGATTGTATAACAGCTTGTTCCCAAATTACGAGTAAAGGCAAAACCACAAAAACCAAAATCTTTCCGATCATCAACACCACATCACAAAGCCTGAGGACGACGCCAATATTTATCAACATCATCGTGATCTCATCTCTTTCCTTCGTCCGTCCGTCTGCATACATGTGTTTTATGATCACATGGTAATAAGCTCGTCCAATACGTATCTAGGTTGACACTTGTGGTTTCGTGATGTTTATGCGATTCGAATGTTCTGATTACCTTATTGACAGATAAGTAGTCAATGAACCAACATTTTCTGATACACCTACCTACTACTGCCATAAGTTTTGACCACTACACAAATTAATGTAGCGGACTCAGTTTATTGAATTTTGAAAAAATAGCGATATCACGAGAAAGCCCATTAAATTTCCTACAAATTATACCAGGCACTTTTCAAAATTTCCTCCATTCGAAGCTACAAGAGCCCAAAGTCTAGGTATCCACATCCCACTCGCAGTACGCACTCATTACAAGGAATATTAGTCTCATTTCTAAGCGACAGATTTTTTCTCGGATTTCAAACTTGTATGTCGTTTAGCACAAGTATCTAGCTTCAGTTTGGACCACATGTCATATTCCAGAAGGTTGAAGTTCGGCGGCAGTGAATTTTATTCTCGGTCCGAAATGGAGTCAGAAATTTTGGATTTCAACCAGCCATTTAGTATTTTGGTCTCATGAGCAGGACCCGAGCCTTGCTTGAATGTCCAGTGGCTATTTTTAATTGAGTGTGGTCCAGTGGTTCTCCTATTAGCTCGATAACATCAAAAAATTTTTTTTGACAAGAAATTTCACCCCCAGAGGAATAAAATTCACTTTTTTCACCAAATCCAATCCACGACGAATAAAAAAATCTCAGAATCTGGATGGTGGGTCCGATTACAATTTTTAAAATTTTTATGAATAATATGGACCGGTGGGGTGTGGACACAGTGCCTTTAATAATTTTATATGGCCTCAATTGTGAAAGTTTACTTATCCTTCAAAAATACTTATTTCCATTTTTCAAGCGCGTACCGCATGATCAGGGCCCGGCTTTTGAGGATCCTATTTTTACTTGGCGTGAAGTTAGCAAGTGTTTCTTTTCACATCTTAAAGACATAAGTCCAAGGTCGAGTTTAGAGGCCTGGGACGTAGTTTTACTTCGCCCGTTCATTTGTAGCGAAATTTTTCTTTGGGTCCGGCATGAATTCGGCCGAAATCAGGTTTTGCGCGCCTTGGTGATTTTTTGTGACCTTTTTGACCGTTCCCTTCAACTCGATTTTCGGTTATCAACACCCCCAATGTTAGTGAATCATTTTATGGTACGGTCGACTATCTTGCGATTAGTTCCGATTTTTAATAAGCTATTGAAAAATGGCGGATTTTTATGTTTACCAAAATGTTTCTGAAAAATTGCAACACGACGATTTGTCCGGTCTGTCATTTTAGCACCTTGTATCACGAAAAATTTCAGAACATGGTTTCTGATAGACAATTGCATGGGGAATTCAATAGAAAATAGTACAACTGGCTAACATAACTGCTACTGCTGTTTTTGGCGTGCGGAATGCGTGAGACAGAATATATGGCAGTAGTAGGTAGATAAATAACAAACACTGCCACTTGCGCCTACCAACATGCAAAATAAGTTACAAACTATGTACAGGGTGGTTTAAATGTCACGCAACAATGGAAAATTTTCTAATGGGAAAAACCCCTAAATCTCCATTAGTTACAAGATTTTGGATCAAGATTTTTGTAATTATTATCAAAACTAATGGAACATTGATGACGAAATTTTAAAAATATTGAATTTTAGCGACAAAATTTCGGTAACTAATGGAAATTTACGAATTTTTCCCATCGAAAAAATTTTCCATTGTGGCGTGACATTTTAATCACCCTGTACATAATGATAGGATGCTTGAAACACAACAAGGTTTGCATACATTTAATTTTGTGCCTTCATGTTCATTCTAATTTTTTATTATTAAAATATTTTTATGGTAATGTGCATCTTCAGATTTTGACCTTAAAAGTACATGAACGTGAATCGCCTACGCCCACTTCTAATTGGAACATGGACAAATATATCATCTCTCATTAATATCTCATCCTACATTTGGAAAGCATTCTCGTTATACACAAGTCGTGTATACGGATTTTTCACAAAAAAATGAATGAATGCGAGGAAACACTTTGCGAAATGAAGTGGAACTTGGCTTTGCATATATGTATGTCGGTCGTGGTGTGGTGAAGATAATTTTAAGTCCAACCAGCTCCTGCTCATGATAATCACGATCATGAAGATTTCCAAAAGTTGCAAGAATTTTGACCAAATACGAATTGGAACAACAAATTGGTAGTTTGCGGTAATGGTGAAGAAGATGCTGATCAGGCATCTTGTGTTTTTTTTATAAATTATGTACAAGTAGCTTTATTCAACATTCTAGTTAACATAACTGAAACAAAACCTCAATGTCTGCAATTTCTTACAAACTTGTTATTTTAAAACCTCAAGGCTGCGTGAATTCTTCAAAGTGCAAAAACTGCTGACTTGTATCTGTAGATAAACTTCTTTGTATTCTACAACATTATTATTGTTCCACTAAGATTCGACAACTAAGAAATTTCTGTCTAGATGCCTCGTAAATACCCAACGGGCGATGGGTAATTGTGTGTACGTCTTAAATTTTGTGGCGAAAATGGGATACACATATCCACCCATCATCATCACAATCAGGGATGTGCACAAGTCAAATGAGTTTTATGTGATGTTCTCAACGTTACCGCAGCCAAAACAGGCAGGAAGTTGTCAGCACAGATTTGGGTGACTTACTACTGGTATCTTTGCGGTAATACTTGTAACTCACAATCATCAAAATTATGTCGTGTTTCTTAATTTACTGAGACATAACAGGTCACTCACACTTTGCATGCCAAAGTTTTAACTGGCAGTATAAGAAGGCACCAGTTCACATTAAAAATGGTAATGAGACGAGATGAGTGGGCTAATTAAGTTGATTAAGTTGTAATTTTGCTACGGAGGTGAAACGCTTTCGCTTGATAAGAATGTCTAATTCGACATCACATGTTAGTGTATGTATAATAATATCAAGTAACACCACAAGCAACGCTGGTGGGAGTTATAATAAATTTCTGGTTTTATTCCATCCTCAAATCTAATCTGTAAAAAAATATGGAAATGCTATGCAAATTTTGAACCAACATCACATAATGATTAAGCACAAAAACCATGATCAGAAGAACATTATAAAATTCACGAGTTAATTCCATAGATTAAAACATCACACTAATTTCTTTCATATGTAAACTTTGGCGATATGAATCCAACATCAATGCACAAAATCATTGAGAAAATTAGTATTCCCCACAAGCACGGAGCAGTTCATGCATATATGCGGGCAGGTCTTCTGGAAGATTGAGGTTGCGAGTTTTACAAAGAGTTGGGCTAATTTGATTTGATTAAAATCGATGGAGTCGTTGCATGACGTGGGATGTGATTTGATAAAGCCAGGTTCCAGAGGAGTTGCTGATGCTTATGATTCTGTTTGCTCAAGTTCAGTCATCAATGCTAAATATCAGAAAACAAATGGAACAAAACTTGCAATTAAGTGAAAATGCATCCCATCATTATTTACATTCAGCAGTGGAGGGGTATTATTCACCAATAATACCAATTTGGACTTTGTCTGTTTCCAACAGATATTCAGCCGATACGACGTCACGATTTTTACTTGCGTCGTGGCACGATTATTAGGGAGTTACAAATCTAAGCTTGGACAAACTTTGTTGCAAATTAGGTTGCAGCATCGAGTTGAAAATAATTGAATTTTTTAAATACGAAAACATCAAAATATTGGTATAAGAAATATTTTGATCCAATAATTTTGCTGTACAGATGCTATTAAGAAGAAGAACTAGTTCCTCAACGGAGCAGTAGCTTTGTTCCTTTCGTGTTTGTTTTTAATCTTGTCGAGATGAGTTTCACAGAACCGTTAGTTGTACTCTAATTTTCTTGTAATGAGCTGCATTGGGCGTTGAAGGCAATTGGTTGACGATTCTGACCTTTGGCCTCACGAAAATTGACTGAAATGACAATCACCGTAGCGTTTATTTGTCTTCTTACATAAATACTATTTATTATCATTTGTGTAAAAAATGTTTTTCTTTGTATTTTTTCAGGTAAGGAAACTCCTTATGAAGGCTCTCGTGTGTCAATTGAACGTCGTAAAGTCCGTAATTAATTTCGTTTCAATTATTCATTCTTCTACATAGTAAAAGACATGAGTTTAGTATGTATGTACACGTGTATTTATTTGGGCTGCATATTCAGTATCGAATAGAGGCGGAAAGTTGATGTCTTTTTGTGAATTTATATTATCACTTGATCACACCTTTCTGGGATGAGGATTATTCAATATGCTTCCTTAATTACAGGGTGTTCTTCACAAACGAAATAATTTACTCACATGTTTATGTTTGACGAATAATTTAATAACTATTCTTTGCGCAAATGGGGCAATTATCAGTTTTTCCTCCGTCCATCCAAGGAGAAATTTTCCCATCATGCATATTTAACCCTAACCCAAAACTTGACTTCCGTTGCTCACTTTCTTAAATCTCAAAATCTCGTCCACCGCAAAACAGTAAATGTGGTTTGATAAGAGAATGAAGACTTTAAATTCCTTCCAAAACTTTAATTTCCCAATTTCACTAAAAACCACACACTGCCATGTAATTAAATGTTAAAGCGTTTGAAATTCAACTCGATCTGGTCTTGTGTTGGCACTTACTCTTTGATAAACTAATATGTAAAGTGATGTTACTACTTTAATGTTATGGGCGCAATTAGGAAGATAAGCAAGTAGCTGATGTTACAGTTCAGGTAGTTGTGCATCTTAAATGCAAGAAAGCATGTTCTTTTTCGTCCTTGAATGCACCTCTTTGAGAGGTTCATTAGAGCATTTGCATATCTAGGTAGCTGCATTGGGTGGTCGACACTGGAACTAATCTGAGGGCAGAAGATTAAAAAAACGGAACAACGTTATTATTATCTTCATTTCATCAAATATCGAGATTGCTGGTTTGGTGGGATTGCATGATGAGCAAACTTAAAATATCGTGGCATTAATTTTTATGGCGTAGTTTCATCTGAAGGTCGGAAATAAAATTAAGCTGCTACCACTCACATAATATTTTGATATTTTAGAACTATGTAAGCCCTTGTATTACTAGTTCCAAGACAATTCTGAGATGTGGGTATAAATTATTGCCTACTTTTTTATATAAAAAAGTAGGTATGTGACTTGGTTAGTTGTTTTATCTCTACACTTGCAATCAGTAATTGATGTTGGTGTAAATAAGTATATTTGAAAAATACCCAAGCCCTCATGAATGCTATTGCTACATATTGACATAAATATCACGGAGGTGAATCACAGACTCAATTCCTTCCAATTTCATTGGTTATTGTATGCATCCATGCTTCTTGCCTTTATTGGACCTTCCAGTTTGAATTGATACATTAATAGCTACGTGATTTGATTATGAAATTAAATTCACTTGCAATTGTGAGCTCCTTATTTCATTGAATTATACCACTTACTGTCACGCCTGCACTGAAGTTGAAATTTGGCTCCGTCTCTAGATATGTTCCGTAATTCTAAATTGTTGTTTCCGAACCAATTTCTCTTGTCAGACAGTTGGCCTTAGATTGTGTGCTCAGTCCTCGCATAGGAGAAGCCAAGAGGAACGAAATGAAGTTATCTTGATCAAGTTGCAAAGTTTCGTTTAGATCAGAATTTAGTCGGGAGGTTGGAGTTCCTTGGAGTTTGTCATGGCTTACTCCATTCCATACGTGTAGCGAGAGTGTGAGACAAGTAGTAAGTTTTCATTAAGACGATTGTCTCGTGTCGTAAACTTTTTTGTGCAAAAGCAGTATTCTCCTCCCAGCGCAATAATACTACACTCTGCCGTTTTCATAAGGTTGAAATGGAAGGAAAGTTAATCATGTTGAGATAAGATAACTGATGATGAGATGTTACTTTTACATATCACAAAAATGATTCAAGTAAATTAATAAATCTTGTTGCATTTTTTGATAGAATATTTATTATGAATCATGCAGTGACTACCTAACGGTTTACAGTCCAGTCCAAGTAAACTTGAATCCCTGTTATTGAGATTACTGAAGGGTTAAAATCGAAGAGTTTGTCCTGTTCAAATCGCGTACCGTGAGAAAAGTTAGGCTGGTTGTCTAAGCCGTAAAATTGACCGAGAAAGGGAAAACCGATTTATATGTAAGCCACGATGAGAGGAAGAGAGTCCATTGTTTTGGTTTGTAGACTGGGCAGTACGCAGAAAAAGTCTGATACTGTACGAAAAAGTCGAGTGATTTGAAAGTAAGCTACGCTATTTTCTGGCTTCGTCGTTTAATAGCAGCAAGGATCATGGCATTACTGCAGTTTCATACCTTAGCTCACTCACACGGCGCAAGTTTACTTACTTGTTGGGTCTTTAATAGTGGTCTTGGGCTCTTGTGGATTCCACACTCGTCGTCCTTTGTTTTCTTAAGAAAACTTGCATGATACGCCTACTCCTCGAGTGCTGAAAGTTCACACAATAACATGGAAACAATCGATACTTCTACTTAACCGTCGTTTTCACAATCGTACGACACACTTTTATCCACACGTCCTCAGAGGTTGTTGATATAATCGTCATCATCTGGCGATACCTTCTCCCAATCTCTCGCTCCCCATACAGACAAATGCACAAGGAATGAATGCACAAGCTGAGGTGAAAGGATGGCGAGAAACTTTTTGCTGGTGGCGATTCTAGAAAAAAAAACCATCATGGCTTGAGTTGGTTTCCTGGATCGGTTGAATCCAATCCATGTTTATTCTGCCCCCGTTGTTTGGGTTAAGGTCTTGTTAGATATTTTTGGCACCATTCGTGACAACACTCGACTTTCTTTCTGCGAATTGACTGATGACTGAAATTGATCAATATTGATTGCTTGTGAGGCAGCATGAGATAGAAATGCTAACGTCCACAATAGCACCACAAGACCAATAAATCACTGTAAAACAGAATGTCAAACAAGTATTGACCACGCATTTGTGTCTCGTTTATTGCACTGATCCAGTGTTTATTTCAACCCATCGCTTTTGTCGTGTATTGTTACGTATGAATTTATGTTTTGTACATATTCTGACAAGTGAGACAGAATTATGTAGAAAGTCAAATTCGTTGATAATAACCCCGGGTTTAGACTTCACGTTATCGTCACGTTCTCCTCCCAATCCGATTTTTTGATTGGTCGAAATTTTTAATTGTCTTAGTGATATTTTTGATTAGCCAATCAAAAAATCGGATTAGGAGGAGAACGTGACGATAACGTGAAGTCTAAACCCGGCGTAACTTTTAAAATAAATTTACATTAACATCGCATTGCAGATATTTTTACTTTAAAATTTGGCTTTTATTGAATAACATACTTACCTTTTGTCTGCCGCATGAATATTTGTTAGCATTATCTCCAGTCTCAAGAAAGGAAAAAGTAAATGCTTTACATCCTGTTATCTAATTACAAGGAACAAAAGCTTGTAATCTAATTTCTGGACAATTTTAACGAAAATGCAGTCAAGCAAGGCTACATAGATGTGAGAAGAACAATGCATTGAGACACATCTGAATTTGACTCGTATTATTCAACCCTTGAATTTCCGTTTCACTCAGCGCTAGAAAATAAGCAGGATGAAAAAGCGTCTAAATTTTTGTGAGTACTCGCAATTAGTAAAATTGTTCTTCTCGAGGAAGAAATGCTAGTAGTTCAGATCGGAGTTCGGGTCGTGGCACGAACAAAAGAATATCCGTCCAACTTATACAATGAACAATAGAAAAGCTGCCACATTAACTGTGTGCCTATGCTCTCCCAATTTGCGTAAATTCATTGCGTCTCTATTCCTCTCAGCGACACGACTCCTTCAGTTTTTTTTTCTAAAATGCGTACAACGGCAAACTTGCTCCTCGTGCTTATTAGGTTATACTTACTTACATAGTTCTAGTCACTCTTACTACAGCGCATTTTAATTTAATGTCACTCGTAATTAATTTAATGAGGTGGAAGAATTCATTTGAACAATAAGGACAAACTAAATTTAGCATTTCTCCTGTAATACACTAAAGAGGAAGACAAATGTCTCCCATTTTCTCAAATTTAGGTTTCTTTCTTTGTAAAATTGACTGAAGCTCAGTAAATATAAAATAGGAATGAGATCTTGATATTGCGCAGTGACAAACATAAATTAAAAAAAAGACGAGTACCATATCCTTGAAAGACAGATTTATTAGAACGAGATTTGTTTGCATGGCCTACATTCATTTCTGCTGTCAAATCGAATTCGAGTACTCAAAGGATGATTGTTCTTTCTGTTTGGTTTCAGTTTTGTGTTAAGTTATTAAGAATTTATTCCAAATTCAAATTCAACACAGACCTCGAAATGGTTCCTGATTGATTTATTTACCCAACCGAAGTCGTTAGGATGAAATGAAATGTCTTAATGAAATCATTTGGTTTCCTCCAAACTCGAGAAATGTAAGCCGTCTGAGGTTTTGCTCCAATTCTCAAAATGGTGGAAAATAAATAATATCCGAGTTGCTTTCCGAATATTCCCAACAATCCTACTTCAGGGAAAATGGAGATATTATCGTTATGAAGCAACCACAGTGAAGCCACAAACTTATGATAAACCACACCACAAATGAAAACAGAGCTTCCTTGTTTCTGATGAAAATTGTGAACTACTTATTTGATCGCTACCCTTAGATCGAATTATGCATTACTTTTCTCAAGCAGGGGAGAAAAATGAATTCAGCGGAATTACAATTTAGGAGGGTTGAGTTCAAACTTTGTAATCAGCGACCAAGCCTCCCAACTCCCCAAGCTCCTTATTTCGTGTGTTTCTCACCACCAATGTCTCAACATTCCTGGGTCGGACTGAGTCACTTTTTGTGTGAATTAAATCAATATTTGACCTGAATTACTCAAAACTAAAGTCGAGCTAAACTACGACGACTTCAGACGAGGTCTTTCTTGAGGATTTGCTTAAACCTTCCATCTACTGCAATCCCTGCATTAATTTTGAGACCCCTGCACTTTCACTTCCTGAATTCATGCTTTAATTTCAGCTTTTGTCTGCCCGAGGGTCTCCATTTTCTCAACTTTCTTCCTC